TGCCTCCCCAGCAGTTCCCACATCCCCACATGACCACGCCCGGGGACACGGGCTTGGGGGAGAGAGAGTGGCAGTGCCCCAGGTGGACTGGGATGCGCAGGTGTGCTTCTGCGGACAGAGCGTTTGGATAGCCCCTTTGGAGAGCACTGAGAGCTCACCAGGTAGGCCAGGGAGACGGGGGGACAGGCCGGAGCCAGTGTTGGCCTTTGGGGGGGAGCGGCCTGTTACCATGTTTGTGAGGGTGTCCAGGCAAGAGTGCGGGGCAGGGCGGTGTGGCAGAGGACCCTGTGTGCTCTGATCGGGGACTTGGACCTCATTCTACCATTGGTAGAGTGAAGTGAGGCTTGGCATGATGGGCAAAGACCTGTGCCCCTCCCCCGCATCCTTGTGCCTCAGGGCCGTGGCCAAGGACCCTGTGCACAGGCCCCGCTGTCACAGTGGGAGGTGACCCTTGTTTTGGGAAGCCCCTGGGATGGGTTCAGGCTGCTCCTCTCTACCCTCATACACACCCTCCGAGTCTTCTTCTCGGATCTGTAGAATGGTTGTGAAATCACCTGTCTCTTCTCCCGGGGAGATGACGAGGATGAAGAGCCTGCCAGATATGTGAATATGGAGTTTTTAAAATTAAGACAGTTTTACCCAAAAGGAAGAAAACGCGTGAATATAGAAGATGCACTGGGTGTTCGTCATTGACCCGCCCTGGGGGTGAGGTAGCTCCCAGCATGGTCAGACTCGGGGGACACCAGCGTGTCCTGGGACCTTCTCCAGGGAGTCGGATGGAGAGTGGGCGGGTCTGCAGAGCAGGGCCCCCAGAGGAAGAGTCCTTGCGGGGTGGGGCCAGCGCTGGGGGAGGAGGTCCTGGAGGGGAAGTGAAAGTGCCCTGCGTTCCCCCCTCCACCCCTGGACGTTGTGTACTGCAACCGCTAAGCCGGGAGAAGTGCAGTTAACGCAGGCCTGGCATTGCCGGCCCCGTTGCACGGCCGGCCGGAGGGGTGGGGGTGCTGAGCAGGGAGGGGGCGGAGAAAACTCAGGAGGCTGCTGTCTGTCAGGAATGACGTCACAGTGACCCTTGAAGGGTTGGTGCCTCCTCTTGCCCACAGCAGGGTCTGCGGGTCCGACATCATGCACCTTAGGCTCACAGAGGCCCAGGCACAGAGGGGAGGAGGAGGATTCCCCTAGAAGTTGATCCAGGAGAGCCTGTTTGAAACAAGGAGGTGGCGGGGGGGTGCAGGGCGTTTCTGGGAAGCAGCGAGCAATGGTCTTGCTTGGCTGGCAGGTGCATGGAGTGGAGTGGGGGGGAGGGGAGCCCAAGGCAGGTTGGGGCCAGATCTCGCTGCAAGGCCGGGCACCCGGGAACTACGGGCTTCACTTGGGAGGACAAGGGGGGTCAGTGGGCTTCAGTTCGGCAGTGCCTCCATGAGAGCTGACTGCGGGAAGACACCACGGTGGCTGGCGGCGTCTGTGGATCAGGGGTAGTAATACAGCAAACTCATTCCAAAACATGGGTATGTCTTATTTTGGGGGCTTCAGAGGAGAATTGAGCAAGAAAAAGGTCCCAGGTCTCAGGAATTGTTACTGAACATCTTATCTTCCGGCATGACTAGAAAGTAAGGTTTTCCCCAAATGCATTTTTCAGGTAGTTGCTTGGAGCTGACCTGTTTGTTTTTGGAAAAATGGTTGTTCAGGTTTAAACATGTACCTCCTTTCTTCTTGTTGAAAAGAGGAGATGGGGTGCAACCTCATCTTTTCTGCTGTTGTTTATGAGTGTACAATTAGAAACAACCAAGTGGTAAATGGTAGGGAGGTAGTGAAACAAGTTATGCTCTCAATTTTTAATTTTGTATCGATCTTTAAATGGTATTGTGTTAGAAGAATATGTAATTTCACAGGAGAATGTTCTTTATATCATGTTTAATTAAAAAGTCGGATCCAAATCTGTTTATGTGTTATGATCCCAATTTGGGACAAAATATACCCAAATTGGAGGGATGTATAGCAAAATACTCTTGGTTATCTCAGAGATGGAGGAAGATTTGTCTCGTGTGAATAAGTAACTTGGAATTTATTTATTTATTTTTTAAAGATTTTATTTATTTATTTGACAGAGAGAGACATAGCGAGAGCAGGAACACAAGCAGGGGGAGTGGGAGAGGGAGAAGCAGGCTTCCCACGGAGCGGGGAGCCCGATGCGGGACCCGATCCCAGGGCCCTGGGATCATGACCTGAGCTGAAACGCAGACGCTTAACGACTGAGCCACCCAGGCGCCCCGTAACTTGGAATTTAAACCTCTCTTACAATGAGCCTTTGATAACCTGATCAGGATTTTTTTTTTTTTTAAGCTGCATTACATTATAGCCACATCTGGCATCTTCCCATCCTACTGGATTTTCACCGTCTCCACTCTGGGACACTCTAGAATCTGAGCTCCTGGGTGAGCTCCATGTCCCATTTGGGATTTTCTGGGGTGCCCCGTGGCATTGCTCTGTGAGGGGCTCTCAGACCGCACCTTCTGGAATCCAGGTTTGTGTCCCAGCCCTGTAATCTCTAGCTGGGTCTACTTGGGTCCCAGGCCTGGCTCCCCTTTGTGAAGTGGGGACAGAACGTGCAGGTGGTTCTGCCGTTCACGCTGCTCCATCTTGGGGTTGAAGCCTGGAACCAGAAGCCTGGCTGGGCCTTCAGCTGCAGCTACCATTTCCTTCTGACAGGGAGACCCGACCTTCATGTTTCTCGAAATGCCTTTATTTATTGTATTTTATTATGTTTTTAAAAGATTTTTTATTTATTTATTTGACACAGAGAGTGAGTTAGCGAGAGCAGGAACACAAGTGGGGGAGTGGGAGAGGGAGAAGCAGGCTTCCCGCGGAGCAGGGAGCCTGATGTGGGACTCGATCCCAGGACCCTGGGATCATGATCTGAGCTGAAGGCAGACGCTTAACCGACTAAGCCACCCAGGCGCCCCTTGAAATACCTTTAATACAGTCCTTACCAAAATTTGAATTTTTGTTAGATGTTGGTATGAATTTGACCCTTGGTCATGTCTTTGGAAGGAAGGCAAGGCCCCTCCCCCTCCCCCCCCCCTTAAAACAAGCAGGTGGGCTTTGACTTCTGTGCTGAGGGAGCTCTGTCCTCTCTTCCTGTCAGTGCTGCCCTGCCCGGCCACACAGGGGACGCAGAGGTGGCTTTGCCTTGGAGTCAGGGTTTGGCAGGGAGGTTTGCTCTGGTCAGGGGCTTCCTGGGGACCCCCAGGGACTGGGACTGACTTTGCTGGGCTATGCCCCAGCGTAGGGAGCCCCCCAGGGAGTAGGGGAACAGCCCTCAGGGGTGGCCTTGTTGGACAACGGGCCCTGGTGAGTGGGGTCACTGCCCAGGAACAAAGGAGCAGTGTTGAGAGGGTGGGGGTGGGGAGGACAGCGGGTCATTGCTGGCAGGAGGCTGTGCGCTGTGGTTTTCCCAGTCGCCCAGCAGTGGAGGTGGCACCCCCTGGCAGGTGAGGCCCTTCTCCTCCCTGTGAAGCTGCACCTCCTCTTTCTGTGCTGGGGGGGATTTTTTCCGTAGCATTTCCCGGTTCTCGTAGCCATGTCCTCCCCCTGCCCCTGGAATGAGATGATGGGGGAGAGGGCAGCACGTGTTTTTGGTCGTGATCCCGGAGCCTAGAGAATAGGGTCAGTGTTCCAGGGCCTCGGGGAGAGAAGTAATTACCGGAGCTGGCTGGGAGAGGCAGGTGGCAGTGCCGAAAGCTGGCCAGGCCTGTGGGGGGAGCTAGCTGGGGGGGTGCTGCCGCAGACAGCAAGGGCCTGCAGGTCAGCTGGGCTGCCTGCCCCGCCAGTGTCTTAGAGGAAGCCATGCATATTGAGGTGCTTGTCACATTTCTGTTCGTCCTCTCGGTGTCTTTGATTTTATCTTAAACCTCAACGAGACATTGCAGGTTTTCTCATCCTGTCAACAGAGAGGCTGTCCATTGTGGCCTTGACCGTGCGCCCTTTGGACGTGTCAGTTCCGTATCCCTTTGCGGGCATCCTGGGACAGGGCTCCGTGCTGCAGGGCGCTCTCCCCTCCCAGTAGGATGTGGACGGCATCCGTCTGGTTGTCGGGCCTGACTGCAGACTGTGAGCCCCTTGGGGAGGGCTTTCACTGACCACGCCTGTTTCCCTGGCCTTGGTGAACAGCCCCCCACCTGTTTCTGTCCTCTCTAAGGATGCTCCTTGGGAATAAGAAACTCATGAATTTGTCATCAGAGTGCTCCAGTCAGGGCTGGGAAGGGGGGGAGCCACCAGGCACCCCATACCCCTTCCTGCCAAGTTTTGTCTGGAATACCCAGGCCCACCACCGCCCACGGCCGCAGGCCTCAGACCTTTATGGACTTTTGTGGATGCTCAGGGTCCAGACCTTCAGTTCCCAGGCTGACCCGGGCTCGGTGGACTCCTGGCTGTGCTGTCTCCTTGTACCAAGGAGGGTTGGACAGATGGCGTGAGTGCTGCCAGGGCCCCTGTTACCAGCCAGCCTGAGGTTATTGCTGCCCTGGACGGCGTCGGGAGGGCCCAGCAGACCACTGCTTCTGCCTGTCAGGAAGAGCCATGCCCGTTTCTGCTGCCCTGTCTCCCCCCATCCCCGCCCCCTGCTCCCGACGGTCCTGCTCTCTCGGCCTTACTTGCCAGGCACTGCTGCCTGTTTGGCCATTTGCTGACCCCCCGTTCCCCCCGGCCTTGAGACACACAGTTTCCATAGCACTGCGTCTGTGGCACTGATGTGGGCCTGCTTGTTGTGTGCCGGCGGGTGACACCGGAGGGCCGTGGGCCTACCGTCCTCTGCTCAGCTCACCAGCCACCTCCTCTGAGTCGACGTCCTGACCCCCACTTGAATCACCGCGCACTTTCCTTTGAGCCCCCACTGTATTCTTTTCGGTCCTTCTGGAAGAGCCCCATCCTCCTCTGCCTCACTGGCCCGATGGGGGCCGCGCCTGTGCCCGCCTGGGGTTAGCTACACCGTGAGCGCTTGGTTTTCATGTGTTGAGTGAATGACCGTGAAGCGGTGTGACCAGGGTCCCAGAGGCCCTCAGCAGCTGAGCGGCGCTGTTTGCTTTGGAGGGGATGGTGAGCAGGGTAGAGCAAGGCCCTGTCCTGGGAGACAGCAGAGCCCAGTGGGGAGAGCGAGGACCAGAGAGAGGGGTGTGCTCACTGTAGTGTGGGTGCCCAGAGAACATCAGCCCTGCCTGGGGGGGTGGTGGGGAGGCCTGTGGAGGTGCTGCGGCCGGAGAGGGGAGGGGGTGGCAGGAGGGCCGGTTTGTGGATGTGGAGGGAACCACGGAAGCCTGGGCCCCACGGTGAAGACACATAGGAGCCGTGTCACCTTCTGTGCTGCAGGCATGACATGTCTTCTCCACCCTCAGTGCCTTTGCTCTCGCGGTTCTCGTCTCAGTTTCTGTCTTGACCCTTGCTTGGTGGGTCACCGGGTGTCCATTCGGCCAGCCACAGACATTCGCCACGTCCCCACCCGGTACGGGTTCCAGGTCTCAGGAGTACCCAGGTGACTGGGGTGCGTCCTGCCCTCCGAGGGGGGCGGTGTAGCAGACAGATCATCCCAACCCAGGACCATTGGAGCTGTGGTAGAGCCCACTTCCTAGTTCCTTTCCTGGCGGAAGGTTCTGGAAAAGCACACAATGAGTAAAGGCATAACTAGATAGAGAGACTGGGGTCACCTTCTGAGGAGGCCAGTGGGATCCCCAGAGGGAAGAAGAGTTATCTTGTTGCGTCAGAAGCAAGGAACTCAGGAGCCTCTTGGTGTTCTGGTAAACCTAGAGGCTTTGCCCTTGGTTGATGTGGGTTTTCCTGTGTCTTCCTCTTCTGCAGAGAGGGAGGGGTGGTTGCCATGGGAACTGCTGGTTGCTTCAGGCCCCTGTACGCTGAGGGGGAAGCTACTTCCTAAATCAGTCAGCTCTTGGGGGCTTGCTGGGGTGGGATGCCGAGGGAGGGCACCTGGGAGGAAGGTGCTGGGTCAGGGGTTAGGAGGGACTTGCCAGGAAAATACTAGACTGCCTTGGGGGCTCACACTTTGGTGTCGGAGCCCACTCTTTTCTCCCCAGTCTTGGCTTCGGGGAAAGGCTGCTGGCCAGTACCCCCCCCCCCCCACCCCTTGGCGGGCATCTGTCCTGCGTATGCACCCACCCCTTCCTTGGTCCTGGCCGCTCAGTCACTGTATGTTCGTGCTGCCCCCCCGCCCGCCCATTACTGCCGCGGCTCTAGACATTTCTCTTTACCCCTGTGCTCTGCCTGGGAGCCCTCCTGTGCCCTGGACTTACCCTGCTACACACACACCGGGCTCTTCTCTCCCATCACAAACCTGCTCTGGCTCCCGAGGCCCAGGGAATGTGTGTGACCCTCTTTCAAACCACTCTTCTCTGCCCCGGCAGGCTCCCACCTCTTGTCTGACCTGACCTCAACCAGCGCTCCATACTCAGGAGCAGGCGCTGACATGGCCTCTTCCCTGACGGAGCATACCCCTCTTTCCGTTCCCCAGCAGGAGGGACTCCCCCTGCCCTGGGCTCCCTAGTCCCTCACGCATCCTGCACTCCTGCCCTGGCCACCTCCGGTTGGTGGTCCCTGGTTATGGACTGCTGGTCTGTTCTCTCCTTGCCGGCTCTGGTTCTTGTGTCTGGACCCAGCACGGGGCCTGGCCCAGGGAAAGTGCTGGGGGATGCCGGAGGGGGCGGAGGGAGTCTGCGGCTGACATGGGACATTGATAAAGGCCTGAGGAAGAGGAAAAGAAGTAGCTACACTGGGCAAGGTAACCCTGCCAGTTGATACAATGGCTGTTCCTTTGAGCCTCTCCAGGTGCACCTGTGCTAATGCACAGTTAGTTTACCAGGAAGCCTTCCTTGACCCTGCCCCCCGCCCCATCCCTTGGGCTTGGTTCACATGACCCAGGAGTCCTCTTACCCTATAGGATTGTAGTAATACAGGCAGAATTGGGGCAGAGTCTGAGACACAAGTCTGAATTTGCTGATTTAATCTGTAGACCCTGGAAAAGCCCGTGCCTTCTTTCTCCCCACTGCCCTGCTCTAGGAAGCCGTACCTTTCACACCTGACCCCAGGGCCTTTTCACATCTCTGCTTTCACTCTGAGTCTCTTCTGGGCATCTCTGTGTCTTGGCCTCCTGCGTGGCTCCTGAGCAGCTGTTGCCGCAGTAAGAGGAAACCCCTCAGGCCCTTTGCGGAAGGTCTAGGCTCACCCTGCAGACAAGGACATGAGCTGTCCTGGCTGTTGTCACCTGTTGACCTGAGCTTAAAAGTTGAGCTTGTTACAAGCAGCTGCCCAGAGCCATAGAGTGCATCATTGTCTGTAATATACAGTCTCCCTCCATGAGCCCTTGCAGCTCACCGAGGTCCTCATGTGCCGCTCCAGGATATCACTAAGCAGAAGATAGTCAAGGACATCAGGCTGCCCCCTCGCTGCTGGTATGTACGTGATCCCTGGGGATTTCCTCCCATTGCAGAGCCAGCGTGCGTCACATGCATTTTCTAGGATCTCCCGTGGTGATTCAGTCAGGTTTCTAAATTTCTGTGACTTGGCATTATTCTTGAGAATTTTCCCAAGTGAGTTCGGGATCCCCCTGTGTCTCTCTCCAGCACACACGAGCATTTTTAAGTACCCATGAAGTCCTGTGCTAAAGACACCTGTTTAACTTGACCCAAGCCCAGCACCTTTCCAAGCGATTTTGAGTCCCAGGCTTCTCTTTTTTATGGAATGTGTTTAATTTTTTTTAAAAGCCCCTTCATTAATATTACATCAAATGCCAGTTTGGAAACTGCCTCAAGGAATGGTCTTTTTGGACTGGAAATAAGTGAATATAGAAAGAGTACTGCTTTGGGGCTTAAAATATAATCTCTGCAGGCTTTGTAGAAGTTTGACTCAAAGTTTTCCTGCCTTATTGTTAAAGGGGTGCACAAGAAAGTATTTTTGGCTCGGAGAATGCTTAGCCGTTTGTGGCCTGAGCCACCAGTTGCCATTCTGGGAGGAACATGGAGATAAAGAATACATTGAGATGTGTTTTCCGTTGTCAGCAGAAAAAAACAGCCCGGGCTGTGAGCCAGGGTCGGGTGGAGAAGAAGGGAGCGTGGTTTGGGACGTGAAGTGGGGTTCCCAATGAGGGATAGGCAGCTCTTCTCATGCCAGGAGCTCTTGGAAGCCAGACCCGAGGCCTCGGTGGGGTCCGGGGCCCTCATTCTAAAGACTGGGCCCCCAGGTTACAGATGAGGGGCTCTTTGAAGCATCCTAGAGTTTGAAGGTCTTACCTATAAGCCTCTTGTTCTGCGGGGGCCATAAAAGTGACAGCAACTGAGGGCCAAGTATTAGTGCTTATGACATATCCTAGGCGGTGTGTTCATGCCTCTCATGTGTTCATTTCCAGAGTGTTCTCTCCAAAGGGAGCCCAGAGCACAGCTCCCTGCCCAACGCCCTGCCGTGCTTCCCCTCCCCCTGGGAACACATTCCCAATTCCTGATCTGGCCCTTGAAGGCTCTGCACGAGCTGCCCCTTCTCCTTGTCCCCCTCATCCTGAGATCCACTCAGTGCAGCCTCTGTTCGGGGTCCCACACTGGCTCTCCTACTTCCTGGGAACTCCCTTCCCTCGGATCTTTCCTGGGCTCTTCTTGTTCCGGTCTCTGCTCGGACGGTGTTTCCTTAGGGAGCCTTGCGTTATTTCTTGGGGCTGATGTAACACATTTCCACAGCCTGGGGCCTGCACAACAAATGCATTGTCCCGAAGTTCTGGAGGCCAGAAGTTGAGACCAGGTGTGGGCAGAGTTGGCTCCTTCTGAGGCCGAGAGGGAGAACGTGTTCCACGCGTCTCCCCCACCCAGTGTTTGGTTTTGCTGGCCGTCTTTGGTATTCTCTGGGTTGTAGATGCATCACTGTGATCTTCAGCTTCATTTTCACATGACATTTTCTTTGAGTGCATGTCTGTGTCCACATTTCCCCTTTTTGTAAGGACACTAGTCATAGTAGATGAGGGGCCCTCCCTACCCGAGTATGCCCTCATGTTAACTAACTGCATCTGTGATGACTCCTGCTACACAAGGTCGTGTTCTGAGATACTGGGGGATAGGACTTCAGTAGAACGTTCTTGGGGAACACAACTGAACCCTTAATAGGCCTTCTCTGATTAGGACCCCCAGCCTTCCCATCATGCTCTTCACACTGCTTTTATCGATGTAATGCTTGATGGACACCTGGGGTTATTTTATATGTATGTATGTACATTTATTATCCATCTCCCCCCACTAGAGTGTGCGATCCTGAGAACAGGGACTTGGCCATCTTGTCTACCACTGTGTCTTCCGTGCTTGGGCCACGCCAGGCACAAAGTATTCACTCAGCAGGAATGAATGAAAGTACGCATGCATGGCTGAATGAGTGCATGGATGCATGGCTGAATGAGTGCATGGATG